ACTGGTACCAAAATGCAACTTTATCTATTTGAAAGCAGCATTACTGTAACATGAATGTACGCTTCAGAACCATTTGGAAATGTGTTAAATTAAAGTGTATAAACTGCAAGAGGAATGGAAGTAAACTGCCTCCTTCACATATCAGTATAAGATAATGGATACACTATTATCTGTCACTGTAGAGAGATAAAGCTTTTTGTACTTTTGAAAAAAGTAATAATTCTAAAGAATAACTCCAGAAGACATTCTTAATTTACTAGCATCTATTCCATTTAATGTTACTGGTCCCCTGCTGGAATCAATCATCTGAATGTATTCCTGACTGTGGTTGAGATATCTCTTGTGGCAGAGTCAGAACTGGTGTCTTGTGATTAGTGAACTGAACTTTGCCATGGCACTTCATTTGTCTGAATACCCTGACCTTCTTTTAAAAAAATACTTGATGTGAAACCTTGAAGCTGTAAATTCAATTTAATAAGGTGCCCGCTGACTACTTTACAGCCTCTTCCCATATTTCTCTTTTTGCTGACTTTTATAATTTCCGCAGTCTTACTTTTTGAAGCAACTGTCACATTAATTATAGATTCTTTACAAATTATAGATCTGATAGATTCTGCCAATTTATAGTTAAAACAATAAACTTGTGGACTATTATAGTACTCATTATTTGGAGTGATGGTGTCCACAAAACACAGGTGGGGGGGATTTATAAAAACTGGAGCAGACAGAAACTGGAGCAGTTGCCCAGGGCAACCAATCAGCTTCTCTCTTCAGTTTGTTCAGTTAAGCTTTGAAAATGAAAGGTGGATGCTGACTGGTTTCCATGCACAGCTGCTCCAGATTTTGTCTGCACCAGTTTTGATAAATTACCCTCAGGATAAAATGAAAAAAAACTGTAAACATTCAGAACATCTCAAATTTAATTTATCCTCTTCAAGTTAATTTAAAACTGAACTCCAGGCAGATATAAAATGCACAAATGAATACAGCTTGGTATTCATTAATACATTATTCAATTTATGTTTTTAATGCATCTAAAGTAAGTACCTGCAAATAAATTGGTATCCACCTACTGAACACCAAAGCTCAGAGAGGGTGAGGAAGAAGCAACAGAATAGGCCAAATAGGTGTGCTGCAGTGCAAGAAGCATTTTTTTTAAACAATGCTCTATCCCCACACTTCACGTGAACCCCTAAATGAATATGTAAACTCTATATAAAAATGTGTCCATACAAAAAACAATTGTCACTCAATCTTATATATTGTCCTTTTGTTAAAAATGTCCATAAATAGTGATAATCAAATAAATCGTGGACAATTCTTTATATTCACTTGCTTTAAAATTGGTGAAACAATTTCAGTTGGTGAAACAATTATATACTATCGATTTCCATAACCTATTGTGACTTCTGTGGTTTACTCCACCATCAAATAAATGCCAGTGATCCACCTCCGAGTGCACAACCACTAGCACACTCACCAGATAATCCAGACCACCAAAGTGGTCTATAAATGCTGTGTACACTTCCTTGGTGTCCAATGTCTCCCTCTCCACAGAATCACGGACAGCTGAGGCCGAGTCTGCACAGGGTCTCTCTCAAATCTCTCTCATTTTCTCAGGAATAGAAAACCACAATCGCACATAGTGTAAAAACTCCCAAATGATAATTTATTCACAGAAATCAGAACACTTACATTTAAAAAGAATATTCAGTGCTGTAAAATCACGAACTAAGCTGGTGTTAAAACTCCCGAGCGATTGAAATCAAAACACTGCGTCTCTTCACCCAGAAGCCACTCCAGACCTGCTACGATAGCATCAGCATGTAGCTCCTCACCTACGTGTTTCGTCCAATGGACTTTCTCAAGGGACTACAGAGCAAGAGTTCTGTACATGAGTGTGCTTTGTGTACAAGAATGGTTTAAAGCAGGGGTGTTTAACTCTGGCCCTCCAACTGTTGTGGAACTTCAAGTCCCATGAGGCTTTGCAAGACTGACAGTTACAGGTATGACTACCAGAGGCAGAGGCATGTTGGGATTTGTAGCTAAACCAGAGCTGGGGGGCCGGAGTTGCCCAACCCTGGTTTAAAGGGTTAGTTTACCTCTACAATAAGATGCACTATGCATTCTAGATTGTCCTAAACATTTAAAAACACTGTGTAGCATTAAAATTTGTATGGAGGGCCAAAGGAAATCTCACCGCTCCAATTCCTTAGCCGCCATCAGGACTCCCCAGGTGCTGGTCCTATAGGTGCGTCTCCACCTTGGAATGTAGTAGTATACGAACAGGCCGCACTATCCAGAGAATTCCAATACTGCAGACTTTATTGAAATTCACAGAAAAAAAGTGTATAAAGCAACAAGTGCCAGCACTGCACAACCAGCTACAACTTCTTACATCTTTCACCCGTAGGCTTATTCATAGAGGTGAATAACTCTCACCTCTACAAATAAGCCTACGGGTGAAACATGTGAGAGGTTGTAGCTGGTTGGGGGTGTGCAATGCTGGCATTTGTTGCTTTATACACTTTTTCATTGTTATACTGTATTTGCTGTGAATTTCAATAAAGTCTGCATTATTGGAATTCTCTGGATAATGCGGTCTGTTCGTATACTATTAAAATTTGTAGTTTACTTTAATTGCAATACATATAGGCCCACTGTGGTTTGCCCAAAGCCTGGATAGAACACTACTACTGGGAGGATGCAGCACTGTTCTCTATGCGATCTGGGTCGCCCCATATGTTGGGTGTGCCCCCAGCATCAGTGCAACAAGCTCTCCCTTTTTTTTAAGACCTGTGCAAACGCAGCACTGTTGCAGAGCCTGAGCTCAATGTTGCTGCAATGTCCAAGATCACAGAAATATGTGCTGGAGCTTGCAGATTCACATAACTGATCACATGTATGAATAGGCTTTTATTAACAGGAGAAAAACAATGGCTCACAGTCAGTGATCACTAGACTTTTTGTTTAGTTTTTGTTTAGTTTCTGTTCCGATTTTCGTTTAATTTCTATTCAGCTGCAATTGACAGCTCTGATCTGAAATGTAAACAAAGGGGCGCAGAAAGTCATAATGGCATGGGACTTGCCCTGCCCCTTTGTTTACATTCCATTAGGGGATCGAGAAATGTCATGTAATGCAAACAAAGGGGTGGAGCTCATAACTTGATGCCACGTCTTTCTCCACCCCTTTGTTTAAATTCCAGAGCAAAGATATCCCTTGCAGTGAGAGCTCATTGGGTTTAGACGTGGTAGTGGGCGGTGGGGATTTTTCTTTTATCAAGTCAGTGAGTGGCGGGCATTGTGATTGACAAGGCTCTACATCGATGGACGATGTGATTGGCGTTGGATTTACATTGTGGGATTTTTTAAAATAAAGGACTTGTCAAAACTGTGTATTTTGGTTATTTACTAATAAAGGACTTTACGAACCTGTGTGGTGTGTTTATTTACTATCTTACTGTTTATTTGGTGAATAAGTAGGGTAACAACTACCCCTTACTCATTCATGGGGGGCGACATCTGGGTACCCCTTTATGAAAGGGGGCATCCAGAATCAGCTAAGCCCCCCTGCCAGAGTTGTGGGGAAGAAGCCCTTGTCCTCATCAACATGGGGACTAGGTGGTTTGCCAAGTGGGGGGGGTTTCACATGGGGTTCCCCCCTAAAATTCCTACAGGGGGACCCCATGCTGATTTTTTTTATTTTTACGTTTAACAACATTAGTCCATTCTGAATGACATTCTGACAGAATTCGGATGCATCTGAATTTTCGTTATCAAAATTTCAGATACAATGAGATTCGTTATTTCTTTAATTCAGACATTCGGATGCATCCAAATGTTAGTTTGGGCGAGAACGAACGGACATATGTAGTGATCGCTGTCAACTGGCATACAAATCTATATGCTACACTACATGCACTACTACAAGTCAGACCACTTTACAGTTTAGCTGTACATTACATTCAGTTGCGCACAGTAAGCACAATGTTATTAAATAACCTTGATCATGATGGTATAAACATATTTTCAAAGAAAAATGCATCCTGATAGTTACTTATTGTTTGCATTTAAACCAAGCACATAATGTAACTCATAGTGTCTCCCCCCAAAACCAACTCTTTCTGAGAGTGCACAAAACACTATTTATGATGTTTCTATGGCTATTATAGTTAGAAAAATTTGTATTTTTTTTTTAAACTATGGAGTTAGATGCGGCCTCCTTGGTATCCCATAGGTGTTAGTGGAAAGGACAGACACAGCATGGTTCCTACTGGGTGCCAGTGATCTTAAAGTAGTGCAAGTGCAGACAGAAAATTACACTGGGTGTCTGGTTTACGAGATCAGCTCAGTGCCAGATTAGAATAAGGACAGAAACGGCACGCAATGGACCTCCAGGCAAGCCCATAGGGATGCTAAAAAATCTTTGCACTTCAACCCTGTCAGTTAAAGTCAATTTAAGCGTTGAAACTCTTTAGACATTTTTTTCTAGAAGGATCAGCAATGGCAGTCTTTGTATTAAGAGTATCAAGCAATCATACACAACACCTATGCACTCTCCCATCTGTCAGCATCACATGAGTAATTTGCAAAGAGTATACTGCTGCATAAGATCCATTTCAAAATCCAAACAGTGAGTTCCAAATCCTGCAGAAATATTTCTGCATCACATCACAAATGTCAGTGCACACTGATGCTTATTCATGATCCAATTACAATGGCGGAGGCCCATGAACTGAAAACACCCTGGGGCCCATAGTACAATGGTAAAAGTACATATTGACATGTTTCCAGATTTTTTTAACTAATACAACATTTGAAATACTTTCGATTTATAGATTTAAAACAATCTAACAGTAGCAGTTATGAAAAGGTTCAGAGTTTCTCTTTAAAGGAGTCATCATTCATACACACCCCAAGTAAATCCAATTTAACCCAACAATTTTTATATTCACATTTCATACAGTCCAGATGATATAGAAGATGAACAATTAACTTACTCCCAAAACTCAACCACAGCGCTGGTCATGTTCGTGGTGTTGGGAAGGGAATAATTGGAGAAACAGCGCTCTGTGTTCCATGGATTGTCACAGTTTTTCCAAGGTAGATTCTAAATGATTACAAAACATTGCAATGGGTTAAAACATAAAATGTACACTATTAAGGGTTACAGTGGAACTCCAGACAATTATATTTTTTATTGCTTCATTGTAGTTGTTATTTGTTGTCTGGTTGGAGAATATTCACCAGTACATCCTGTCCTGGTTAAAATGGTAATTACAAGAGAAAGTTAGAGTAAATTTATATGAGCAGGGAAGGATTAGAACCTCTGATTGGTTTGTATTGCTTTATGCACACCCTATGGTAGCATAAAGGCCCATTTGGCTGAGTTTCTCTTCTTTCCCCAGTCTGTCCTAAACTTAAAAAAGGGCTGGAGTTCCACTGTCACATTTATCTAAAGGTAGAAAGTACAATATTAAAAGTGTGTCCATTTAAGGGAAGTAGGTTTCTTATCTGATGTTCAAGTTAGTAATAATTTTTTTCAGATATTAGCAATCCGGGAAGCATAAGAGGTGACATCCCCAGCTCAAAGGATAACACCACCTTTCTAAGTTGTTATAAGTTGGCAGAAGAATGTATATTTGTAAATATTTGGTATTTACAAGCATTACATTAAAATGATACCCTCCTATCCTTTAGGCCTGGTTCACACCTAGGAGTTTTTGAGCAGTTCGAAAAGCACTTTTAAATGCCCAACAAAAGAAATCCCATGATTTTCAATGGCCCTGGTTTACACCTGAGCAGAAAAACGCCAGCAGAACAACACCAAGTGCCCGAAAAGATACATAAGCTTCTTTGGGCAGTTTTTTGCCCCATACACTTAATTGGAAAAGCCCAAAAACGTGTGGCAGAAGCATGTTGCACATTTTCGTGAGCATTTGTGCTCTTTTAAACGCATTTTCTTCCTTTGCCTTCATTGTTTAATGAGCTGCCAATCAAAACATGTGTCTTCAACATGTGTACAACGCGCATAAAAGCGCACATAACCGAATGCTGCCAGGCGCGTAGAAACACGCAAAAACGGTGCCGCCAAGGTGTGAATCAGGCCTTACAGCTGAAGACATTGCCATATTAGATACAAGTAATACATTATCCATTGTGCCCAAAATATTAAATCTGGGTCTGTTGTTAAGATAAGATATGCAACATTTGGAACATTTTATTGCTGTATAAAAGTGTCCTTCAAAAACCTGAGCAATGAGATATTCAGTATATGTCTTAGGAAGGTGGAGTTACACTTTAGGAGTATCAATATGGTGCAAATAATCTATTGCCACGGTCTGGTTCTAATGTCACATCATATATTCTGTTATCTTGATATTTCTAATGTATAGCATTGATTTTGGTTAATTTAAATATGCAGAGAAAACAGTTTGAAAAGTAAGGCACAACAACCAATCACATTTGAAATTACTGTTGTTAGATAAGGTGGTTTACTACATTATACACACTAGTTATCTGCTTATGTAAAAGGATTTGACTTATATCTTGTTGTTTTCAGACAATATATAACTGCCATAATTATTACACTGTATTGTATATTTTGATAACCAAATTAAGATTTAACAAAATAAAAGGTTTATTCCTTTGGGATCCATTAGATGGTCTACAAATTTTGGGACATTATTGACCTCTGAGATAAAATGTGTTTACCTAACTGTAATTTTTTCTTATTTTATTGCAAGGTACATTTGTCTTGGTCAGATCTGCGCATCATACAGTTACATCTGGTGGCTTGTGAAAGTGGCATTGCCTAGCATTTCCAAGGAACAGTTGCATGATATTTTCCCTCAGAAGCCAAGATGTCTCGAAACTGTGTAAAAAACGCAGCTAACTTCTGCTACATTTGTGGCAAGGTTACATTTGCATCTTAAAAGTGCAGTATGACGGCAGTGGTAAAAAGGCATACCACCTATATTTTGGATGCACAATAGGTTATCAGGACAAGAGTTGGGCACAGCATTATTGTTGCATCACGTGTGCAACTTATCCGCATCATTGGCTAAAGAAGAAGAAAAAGCCCATGCCTTCGCAGTCCCAATGGTGTGGAGGGAACCCCCAATCATAGTAGTTAATGCTATTTTTGTGTGGTTCCCTCAATTGCAAAATGGATCTCAAGAAAGAAGAAGTGGACCATGGAATATCCATACATTCCATCTGCACTGCGTCCTGTACCCCATGGTGAGGACTTGCCTATTCCAGATCCACCAGAATCCTTCTCTCTAGACACAGATGATGATAAAGACGATGAGCAGGATGCAGCTGATCCGGGGCCGTCGATGTCAGCGGACTTAAACTTTAGCCCACCGTATGCTCCTCCTGAACCACATCTAATTTCACAAAGTGAACAAAATGACCTGGTCAGGGATTTGAAATTGCCTAAGAGTAAGGTAGAGCTACTGGGCTCCAGATGACAACAGTGGAACCTCTTGCAGATTGATGTCAGGATCCCCATTTTCCGTGACCACCAAAAAGATCTGGTTCAGTATTTCTTAGTGGAAGGTGATTCGGTTTATTGCAATGATATTGATGGCTTAATGACAGCCCTTAACATTACCCACAATCCAGATGAATGGAGATTGTTCATAGATTCATCTAAAATGAGTCTTAAAGCTGTTTTATTGCACAATGGCAATGTTTTGCTATCCGTTCCTGTCGGGCATGCAGTCCACATGAAAGAAACATGCGAAAACATGAAACCTCTGCTGAGGCCTATAAAGTATGAGGAACATCAGTGGCAGCTCTGTGGTGATTTGAAAGTTGTTGCCCTGTTGCTTGGCCTGCAGGGTGGATACACATAGTACTGCTGTTTCCTCTGTGAGTTGAGCCAGAGATTGTCATTATGTCAAGAAAGACTGGCCATCATGACAGTCCTGGGAGCCAGGAAAGAAAAATGTTCAAAATCCAGCTCTTGTTGACTCTCAGAAAATGTTGTCACCACCGTTGCATATAAAGATGGGGCTGATGAAGAACTTTGTGAAGGGTATGGACAAAACAAAACCAGGTTTCCAATATCTTTATGAAAAGTTTCCAAGACTTAATGATGCCAAAATCAATGAATGAGTCTTTGTCGGTCCACAGATTCGAGAACTTCTCTGAGATGACAAGTTTGATCTTCTGTTGCGCGGCAAGGAAAAGAAGGCATGGAAAGCCTACAAGTCCATGGCAATTGAGTTTCTCGGGAACAGCAAGGCAGATGACTATGAAAAACACGTGGGAAATTTGCTTAGGTCCTATAAAGCACTTGGTGCAAATTCACTTCTTACACTCGCATTTAGACTATTTCACTTTGAACTGTGGGGCAGTGAGTGATGAGCATTGGGAGAGATTCCACAAGGATATCGCAGGCATGGAGAAAAGATACCAAGGGAAATGGAGTCTGTACATACTTGCCGATTACTGCTGGAATCTCTCCATGGATGATCCTACTGCAGTTCACAAAAGAAAAGTCAAAAAGCGCAGTTTAGATAACTAATACAGATGGAACCTTTAATCTGATGTTAGCGCTTGTCAGTTTTTCATGCAAAAAGCATGAAAATGTTACATGAAAAAACAGTAAATGAATGGAAAGTTATGTTATTGGTATCAATAAAAAGATACATGTATAATGATTGGTGTGGCACCATTCTCATTGCTATATCACATTTTGCAGAAACGTTATGGAGAATAATCGCACACTCCCCTCGTCATTTTGAATTATGTTGATGCAATTTTGACCTGAAGCTGTATCTTGGAAACTGGAGCCAATTAATTCACAAGACTTAATTTTCCTTTATTGGTGACCCAATTCTGGTAAAATGTCGCTACTTTCATTTCCAAGGCTTTCTCATTGTAGATCAGTGTTAGTATTTTTATCTGCAGTCTTAGGTTTGTCATTCACTGTTGCCATCCATATCTACATTCTGCTATTTCCTCTGTCCAGCAGTATGATATTTTCTATCTCATACTATCACTGGTAGTAGTTGTATAATACTAGTATAGGCGAGCTTAGTCCTAGTAACCAAGGCATGTATGTGTTTTGTTGGCAGAAGGAGGGACCTTATCGTGAGTGTTATGTGACCTGGCACCTTTGTTGTTAGTTATAAGTAATGCACATACTAGCAAGCATAATGGCAGGCTGTGAATGAATTCAGCACCATGGACAGCGGTAGTCAGGATTCTGTTTCCATGTTAAACTCCAATATGATTTTGCCTACATAGAAAAGGGGTGCTATTAAAGCTACACTTTGAACAAACAACTAAATATGTAATTAAAATACATTTATGGGAGATGATCTACCTGACAAAATATTTGCATTTCTATCTATTCAGTTTTGAGATTTGCACAGCCCTGTAACATAGCTGTCATGTACTGCAGGGCAGAGCCCCTTGCGCCAAGTCTGGATCCCAGTAGCAGGAAGCAGGTGAGATAGCCAGTCCAAATACAAGGTCCAAAGGGGTGAGACAAGCCATAGTAATCCAGTTACGTATTCATGCAGGCAGCGCAGAATCAGTAGTCCAGAAAACAGTCCAAGGGTCAGGTAGCCAGGAGTCCAAAACTGTGGGTAGGAATGCAGGAACAGTGGACGAAGATGCAGGAATAAACACTGGGTCTCTGTGAGCAGGGCTTCAGAATAACCTAGCACTGAGCTAGTAGTGTTGTGAGGTTCTAAAGCCCAGGACTGGAGGCAATGCCCCTGTTGCTATGGAAATAGAGGTGGAGTTAGGGCAGTGTTCTGTGTATTGCTGAAGGCTTGTGTTCCTTGGGAGGAAGTGAGTTTTTGCATGTTGTCATTTGCTGTGCATGCTAGATCTCTATTGGGGCTTATAGACGTCACACCATGATTCCCTGCATGTGACACCACCAAGGGAGACGGCTGATGCTGTGACCAGCACAGCTCCTGAAACACATGCACAGTGACGCACAAAGCCATGCTTCCGAGGCACAGCCACATCAGAGAAACACTGGGAACATGTCTGTGGTCCACAGAGAGACGCCACTCTCCAGATGAGGAGATCTGGAGAGTGGCGTCTCCGCACACTGCTGCTGCCAGGTGAGGGACAAAGTGAGCGCTGCAAAGGTGTGTGACACCTCCATGCACCATGACAATAGCATAGCCAAGAAGACAACCTCCCTTTCTCTATTACAGTCCTACAGAAATAAAGTAGTATCATCTCCCTGTCTGTTGATTGGACAGTGAAGTAGCAGCAGCATACTTTTATGCTTATCCCTCTGTCCACTCTGCTTTCTACTCCTATCAGCATCTTCCTTTCTACCACTCTAGCACTCCAGATTGGCTCCTAGTGCTACCCTTCCCTCTCCTGGTTTGCTGTGCAGGAGATTGCAAGGGGCTGATACTAAGTCAAATTCAGGTACTTGGAGGAGTTGAGTTTAGGTAATTAAAATATGATTTATTAATTAAAAAATAGCTACATTATCTGTGTCTTTTATATCTACCTGGAGGTACACTTTGAAAATCACATATTATTATTATTATTATTACATAGTATGTATATAGCGCCGACAGTTTGCACAGTGCTTTACAATATAAGGAAGACATTACAATCACAATACAATTCAAGACAAGATGGTGAGGATGGCCCTGTCTACATGACTACATTCTAAATAGTTTTACCAAACAAACTCATCAGGGATGCAAATGAACCAATTCTTACCATGGTGAATGAGTTGTATAAATAATAAATGGCCCAGGCAATAATAACAACATAGTAAATATTTAGCCAGAAGGAGAGAACAGCAGCAGCCAGCCCCACACCTGTAGGGAAAACAAACACACAATAGATATATAAATAACGATTTGTATAATATAAAGCTATTCATTTACATCAATTGTCAAACAAATTTAGAATTTCGTTTTCCCGTTGACCTGGCTCAGATATGAAATTTTGATATTTTTTTTTAGCTGATAACATTTGTTATTGAAAATTACAAAAATAAAAACTTAATGATGTTGAAAATGTAATTTGATCATAATTTAATCGACTTTAGACTATGAGACCATATATGCTAAATGAAAGGATTGGATGGATGAAAAATGAACTGCTACACTCTAAAAACAAAATGAAAAACTTGACATAATTGGTGGTTTCCTCGACTGTAAAAAATATGATCAGAATAACGTTACACCAAAGCTTTTTTTTTTTTTACTAGATTTTGTCTGAATATGATAGGACCAAAGGGATCAGGTAATTAAAGTGTGATATTCCTGGGAACCTTTAGGGTAAGAAGTCTAAAGAAGAATAGTGGAAATGTTAGAACCTCAGATTTTAATTGCCCCATAGGGAAGATTTCTACTCACTTACTCCACCAGAGACACCCTGAAAAAAAACAAAAAAATGACAGAGGTTCTAACCACTATTGTTTTACTTAATTTAAAATAAATAATTTGAAATTGGGTTTTAAAATTTTGTTCCACTTTTGCAGCCAACATTGACACAACATATGTAAAAGTCATTTTTAAAAATATATTTCTTACGTCTTAGATGTTTCTTTGGTGAAGGCCTTTGTGCAGATTCCAACCTACTCTGAGCAGTTTAAAAGTGAAACTAGATGGTCAGGCTGAGAGTCAAGCTGAGCTTTCTCTCATAAGCATACAATGCGTCAAAGTGTTTAACTAGGGATGCAGCGAAATTTTGCACACTGAAACATATCGGTAGAAAATGGTACTTTGGGAAAAATGCCAAAAGTGCAATCTTTTGGTTGAAGTTGCAGTGCATCCCTAAGCATCGTCCAGTGGGGAGGAGAGAAACTGTCAGGAGGCCGAGCGGGGCAGAGAGAAGAGAGCTGTGAGCAGCGATGTCATGGGAGGCCGAGCTTACCTCCCGCACCTCCCCTCTCGGCCTCCTGTGACAGATCAGGATGAGAGCGGGTTTGGGGTAGGAGACAGCTGTAAGCTGTCACAGGAGGCTGAGCCAGCTGTGCGGGGAAGGAGTCAGCTGCTAAAGTAGACTGAGCTCTCCTACCCGCACCGTCGGCTCACCCCCCTGTGACAGAGAGTCAGGATGGAGAGCAGGTACAACAAGGCAGCGATCAGCTGCTTGCTGACTGCTTGTAAATAATTGACGACATAATATGTTTACTGTGTCCTCAAATATGGATGAACAGGAAGCGCTCTACATCTCCGTAGGTTATGATTGAACAGGAACAATCAGTACAGATGCTTCCTGTTCATTTATAACGGGGGCTGCAGAAAAAGAGATTGAGGACTCTCTGCCCTCAATCGCTTTTTCTATTTTAAAAGAGAAATATCAGGGGTCTGTTTAGACCCCTGATTTCCCCCTGGAGCCCTCAACAGTAAAGAAAAAATATTTATTAAAAAATAGAAATAAAATAAATATTTTTTTTTTACACGTTTCGAAAAAATAAAAAAATAAAATATAAAAAAAATATAAAAAGGTGAGAAAAAATGTATCTGTTTCGGTTTCAGCCTGACAATTTTTTGTTTTTGTTTTTGGTCAGAAAATTCAATTTCGGTGCACCTCTATCTTTAACCCTATGTTAGGACAGTGTTCCAATCTAGCTTACAACTGACATTGAAATCTACTGCCACAGTACAAACAGGGTTAATTACAGTAAACATAACTTCACACAGCTCCCTCCTTAAGGTGGTAGTGGTAGTGGTGGTGGTTGAATGGGGGGGGGGGGGGGGGTGGATTTTTAAACAAGTAAAAGCACTTAAAAATGTAAGCATATTATTTCAATTCACACATTATTACATTACACAAACAAATGAAAATGATGATAATGTAATGGAAAATGTAGAAAATAAATGGTACAGGTAAACAATTTTGAAAACATTTCTCACATACCTTTAAACATTGGAGCAAGTCTCCATACACCAAGTCCTCCAATAGATGTGAATTGTCCCAGAGAACACTCCAGTAAAAACAAGGGAACCCCAGCGAAGATCAGGGTTAAGAAATATGGGATAAGAAATGCACCTAGAATAAAAAAAAAAATCATCAATTTACTAACTGTAAGAGTGTATTTTTGTATCTAACCCAGGTATGTAAAACTGAAATAAAGCATTGCACCAAACTGAATTGAAAAGGTTATAGCAACTTAATTTATGGTAATTAACATTGTAGAAAGAACTACAACCTATATATTGTACCAGAGAAAGGTGTCAGAAATCATTTCTTGAAGCACCGAACAGCAAATTTACATATGGAATTATAACTTTTGTCAACTCTAGAACACCTGGGCCATTTTCTTTTTTTTTTTTCAACATGAGTTTATATTAGATATTTTTCAGAAATACAAAATCCGAATAATACAGCAGTCATATTGAATATCGGTCATAATAGTAGGTTTATAGGTTTACAAGCAGAAAGGCATAAGCTGAACCATCAAATGGTAGTAACAGTAGTTACAGGGGGTAACGTTCGTCAGGGCATATCTGGAAAAGGTAACAGTCATATGCGAACAGATATTCTTCTCAACCAGTAAGGAACATATGACAAACATTAGAGTTTCAGGTCATATCTAGAGCAGACCACTATTATCGGATTGGAAGGAGGAGAGAAGGAAGAAAAAGAAAAAGGGGGAAAAAAAGGGGGAAGGGAGAGAAATGAAGAAGGGCAAAGAGGAAGGAAGGAAGCAGATGCTTGGGGAGGAGGTCCAGGTTCAGAGTATGTTATGTCTTGTCGTTTAGCTGTTAACTTTTCGTTTACAAACACAGTGTTTCTGAGATCAGCAAATTAGGGGATAGCCATGCTTTTGCGATCGTTTGCTTAGCCGCAGTGAGGATGTGTGTCAGGAGGGTAAATTGTGAGTTAGTGAAGTTATCAGGTCTCAAATTGAGGAGCACTATAGCAGGTTTGAAGGGCAGGGTAATACGGATGAGTGTGCGTATAAAGGCAAATGTTTTATTCCAGAAGCATTGTGCAATCGGGCACGTCCACCTGGGCCATTTTCAGTTAAAATTCTTATACTCTTTTACCATATGTTGACCAGTGGGAACGGGGTTTACAGAAACAAATAGATCAGAGAGGTTGGACCCAAATTTGGCATACCTTGGCTCACTGCTTCATCAATTTGATGGTGGTAGAAACTATAAACTATTATTTAGATGGTATATGGTTCCTCTTTGAATAGCTAAATTCATACCAGTGTCCTCACCTAACTGCCTTTGTGAATGCCCCACCAGAGGTACACTCCTTTAAATTGTTGGGAATTCCTAAAAATCAAGTGTTTTTGGATGGGGGTATATCAATGTGTCTACACAGTGCTGGGCAGTAGACATGTGCACCAGCAAAAAATGTGTTGCGTTTAGTTTCGTTTTGATTCAGATTTTGCTTTATTTTGTTTTTCGGAATTCGGAAGTCAATTCGTTTCGGAATTCGGATTCGGACTAAATTTGTTAGCGGAAATCCGTGCGAAATTGTGTTTCGTTGTTGTTTTGTTCGTTCGTTGCAGCAAAGTGACATTTAAGAGGGAAAATTTTGTCCGAATTTCGATTCGGAATGAAACGAATCGCACATGTCTACTGGGCAGAGGTCTTTAAATCTTTGGGAATCCCTACTGAACCATAACCTGCAGGCTGCATGGCAGCCCAGTTTACACTTCCAACCTTTACATTTATGGCAGGTAAGCAAATGCTAGCCAGGGCCTGAAAATTTTTTATCCCAACTGTTTCCCAGATTAAGGGGAAGATGTGTTATTTAGTGAATGAGCAGTTAACAGGTAATACAACTCTATGCGTACATTTTACAAAATTCGGGCACCCTGGATAACCCACTATATGTCTCCAGAGGTGGAATGATGCTAATGACAATTTAGACTTGTAAAATAGTGGGGGATGGGAGGCAAGGAGATTACCCAAGCAATTATTTTCCTTTCCCTTTCCCTTCCACCCTCCCCTTTTCCTGACCCATTCAGTCCATATCTGGTCCTTCCCTTGTTCACTTTTCTTTTTCAATTACGTGTTTCATTCTTTTACTTCCTTCTGCCTTTTCAATTTACTTCTGCCCTCTCTGTCTTAAACATCAAGTATTACCGGCTCTTTATGGGGACTGATGTTCCACACTAACTATTTGTTTAAAGCACTAAACTCCAGAGCTCAACTGTCAATTGTATGCAATAGGTGTTCAGAAATTAGAATTTTGCTAGCTGTGACCCTATAAAACCTATTGACTAATTTTTTACTCAGTTTAGACTGTAATATTACCATTGCATTTTCTCATCTCTGCACTTTCCTATATTTGTTTTTTGAAATACAATAAAAGTTATTGTGAACAAACATGCTTGCACCACTAAGAGTTGCAAAAAGAAACTGAACGGTTTGTTAAAGGGAAACAGGAATCTTTTAAGCAGGAACTAAACTCTAATCTTAAAGCTGATACCACACAGCTCAGTCACTGAACACAGGCGCTGGAAAACAGCAGGACATTAAAATAAAAAATTAAAATCAAGGCGTGGACTGCAACATGGCAGATGTGATTCAGTATTGAAAAATTTAACTTGGAATAGTGTACTTGGGAGCTAAGAACATGCATGCAAAATATTAATAAGGAGATGTTCTGCTGGGAAGTCAGGGATAGCGAAAGACTTGGGTATTTTATAGCCACAGATTCAGCAATAGCATGCAATGCCAAGTTGCAGCTAACAAAGCGAACAGAATACTATTCTGCATTGAAAGAGGGATTTTTACAAGAGATTAAAATATAAATCTTCCACTATATGAAACACATCTCGAGTATGCAGTTCACTTTTGTTCACCAATCCTCAGAAAGGATTGCTTGAACTAGACAAAGTTCAAAGAAGGCAGCAAAATTAATAAGGTGGTGGAGAGTCATGAAGATCAAGTACAAAAATTAAACTTGTTCTCCTTGGAGAAGAGACGACTAAAAGGCAATATGAATGCAATTTACAAACGCATCAATGGGGACTGCAGGTTCAACTAAGATCTCTGAAGATGACACGTGGACATAACAAGAAGTTGGATGAGATTTATTTTAGTCTCAGAGACGTAAGAGTTTTGTTTCAGACTTCCCTTCTGCAGCTAGTTGTATCAGCTTAAAGCATTGAGAACTTCAAAAAACAATTATATGAGTTTCTCAGTTCACAAAATATACAGGGATATGGGAGTTGTCAGCGACATGTATACATACTCATACACACACATATATTGAAGGCTGACCTGGATGAACCTGTATCTTTACTCAACTTTACTAACTATGTACAGTAACTATGTAACTATCATACACTCTCTGGAGTTACTGAAAGAGTGTTCACACAGTCAAGACCTTAAAATAGAATCTGTACTTTTACAACTAGATAACCAGGAAATTATGAGTACACATTCTAATATTAGAATCAGAGGCCTCACAGAAGCCCCAAACCTCCTGATTTTCTTCCATCGGATCAGACACACCATTAGCCCCTATATTCGGTATGGGAAATGACCCAGATTATTCAACAAAATTCTGAATAGACCTAAAGATAAAGGGGTGCTTGGCCTCCGCAGCCATTTTTACTTGCTATGTCCGTGTTAGGGAATTATTCTCTCTAAAGGTGGCCTTACATTTTAAGAACTGTGTTCGGAAATCATAAACAAACCGTCTTTCGAACCAAAAATCGAACAATTGATGGTAAATCACCGATTTTCGTTTTCAATATTGTGTATGAAATTTTTTGATCGGTTAGATTGGAAAAATTTTCTCTGGCTGATTAAAAATTGATGAATCAGTGAGGCTTTCATTTCTCAAAAATCATGGCAAGAACACAGCACAAATGCGCAAAAGCAAATTATTTCCATCGCTCAACGAAAATTGGTTGGTCAGTATGGCTAACCAATGATTTCCAAAATTAACATTTGAGAAGAAGTATCATGTACTGCACACAGCCATTGTTTATGATCGTAAGGGACTTTTTTTTATCATTCCTAAGTCACAAAAATGAAACGACCAGCGCCAAATGTACACAACCAAAAGAGCTCTCCACTGGTCCAAAGGGTTAAATGAAATCCAGCACAGCTGCCCCTTAACAGACAAGTGATCCTGAAGGCTGCATAGAAAAGAAAGAAAACACAGGCGCCGGGTGTTTTCTTACTTTTTTATCATTACATGCTTGTTGAGGGTATCTTTAAATTATGGGCATTTTCGCTTCTAATTTTGCCTTGAAGTTTATAAGGTTTACCAGTTTGCATTCTGTTTTCTGAAATTAGCCAGACTTTAGTGCAGGTTCACCTTTAGCAGCCTATTTTCTCTTAAGGCAAGTAGATCTACCAGTACTTGGATGCTCCCAGGACTAAAGATGCAATGCTATTTTTGCAGAACCTGGATGCTCCCTATCAACCCAGAGAGAGAGAGTTTGCGTACCACGTCAGGTGGCATCAAAATGTGGTATGGTATGTGGCAGGTGCAGTGAGCAGGAGAGATCCAGACTAGTAAGCGGCTGTATGCTTATCTAGCATTGGTTAGGGCGTATGGCAGATGGTAGCAAATTCCAAAATTCAAGTAAGTGTCAAGGCCGGTGGTAGTCAGTAGCATATCCATTATCCAGGCAAGTGTCAGGGCAGGTAGCAATCAGTAGCATAATCCATTGTCGAAGCAGGGGTCAGGGTAGGTAACAATCAGTAGCATAATCCATTATCCAGGAAAGGGTCTGGGCAGGCAGTAAACAGTAGCATAATCCACTGTGCAGGCAAGGGTCAAGACAGGCTGAGGTCAGAGCGGTAATGTGTGTCCAAGCACGGAAGTCAGCACACTAAAGCATTTAGAGACAAAGCACTAAGTAGCTAATGAGTAGCTAGAGTGTCACATCACCACTGGACTGTCAGGGCAGAGTAGGCAGATCTGGCAGTGCTGAACCACTGCCTAGCAATGAGGACACCACCACCACCAGTGAGCAGTGAGAGCGGAGGGGGCATTGCCTGTAGTGCAGGGTCTGTTGCCTAGCAACCAACCTTGGCTGGGGAAGAGAAACAGCTGAGCAGCAG